ACAGCCGGGTGGCCACAGCACATGCGCGAGTATGGCCCCGTTGTCTTCTGAGACCTGTCACGTGTCCCACAAGACTACGGGGAGGGAGGGGAGGAGGGACAACTTCTGTTTCTGATCGTCTAGGTGATCGCAGTGGAAGTGGGAGCGGGTACTTGTCAAATTCGGGTACCCGCTCCCAAAAGTTGCCAATACTTAATGGGAAGCGGGGGACCAATCTTTAAAGCGGAACTTCCCCTTTTGTGTGGAACTCCACTTTAAATCTAATTTAAAACCAGTTTATGTTCCTATATAAAATTACACCTGGGGTATCACTAGTTATGCCAATGCTTATATATACATAGATAAATCTATATTAGCAAATGTATTATCTGTTCAACATCTTAAAGTGTATGTACTATAAATCCTTACAATGAACTTCTCTTATTTGCTCCGTTTTGTTCTGCTAAATATAACATTGAAAGTGTTTTGTTATATCTGTTTTATAAGTGCAAAAAATACCTGTAGATTTTGCCAGAAACCTTGTAAGCTGATAACTCCCTATGTTCTATGCCCGTGCACAAGGTGAGGTTATTAAACAAATAAATCTTGCACATGAATTAAGTTAAACCACCAAGCTGCAAGCATACAGTGAGAAAGCACCTCAGCAGTGCTATATAATAAGTACTGTGCTCCAAACTGAATACTACAAATCTCTCAAAACAATGCATATACAGTACCTTGAAAAAGTATTCATCCCCCTTGAAAGTTTCCACATTTTGTAATGTTACAGCCAAAAATGTAAATGTATTTTGCTGGGATTTTATGTGATAGACCAACACAAAGTGGCACATAATTGTGAAGTGGAAGGAAAATCATAAATTGTTTTCAAAATGTTTTACAAATAACATTTTGGGGATGTCTCTACCAGCTTTGCACATCTGGAGAGTGAAATTTTTGTCCATTGTTCTTTGCAAAATAGCTTAAGCTCTATCAGATTGCATGGAGAGCGTCTGTAAACAACCATTTTTAAGTCTTGCCACAGATTCTCAATTGGATTTAGGTCTGGACTTTGACTGGGCCATTCTAATACATGAATATGTGTCAGGAATGGACTTGCCAGTAATGGTGGGACTCACCTACCTTGTGGGCTGCAGTACCAGGGCTGGCCAGCGGGTGCTCCCAGCAATCAGAGACTCAACCCTGCAGCCAGCCAAACACCTGAAGTTGATTATGCATGTGTATTTAAGGGATGGCCAGACCTGCAGTCTCTGCCTTGGTGTGTGTTTTTTTTCCTGGGCCCTGTATCTTGTTCCTGCATCCCTGTTCCTGTCCCTGTCTCTGTCTGATTCGTTGATGACCCTGCCTGATCCGGACCTCTGCTGACTTCTCCTGTTTTATCCCTGGCTTGTGACCCCGACCATTCTCTGCCTGACCCCCTGTACCTACCTGCCCGATTGTTATTGACCCGGCCTGCCTGACGACGCTTGCATTTTATGTACTGTTATCTGTGGGTGGTTTGGTTTGGTTCGTTTGCACTGTGTTATGTTTTAGTATTGCACTGCGTTTATGTTTGCATTGTTAGTCTTTAATAAATTATATTGTTTATACCTTATCTGAAGCCTGCGTTTCCCTGCATCAGTTCACATACCTCTGGTCATACCCTGGAGCCCTGACAATATGCTTTGATCTAAACCATTCCATTGTAGCTCTGGCTGTATGTTTAGGGTCATTGTCCTGCTGGAAGGTGAACCTCCGCTCCAGTCTCAAGTGTTTTGCAGACTCTAACAGGTTTTCTTCAAAGATTGCCCTGTATTTGGCTCCATCCATCTCCCCATCAACTCTTACCAGCTTCCCTGTCCCTCTGCAGCTTCTCCAGAGTTACCATGGGCCTCTTGGCTGCTTCTCTGATTAATGCTCTCCTTGCCCGGCCTGTCAGTTTAGGTGGACAGCTATGTCTTGGTAGGTTTGCAGTTGTCCATGCTCTTTCCATTTTTGGATGATGAATTGAACAGTGCTCTGTGAGATGTTCAAAGCTTGGAATATTTTTTATAACCTAACCCTGCTTTAAACTTATCCACAACTTTATCCCTGACCTGTCTGGTTTGTTCCTTGGCCTTCATAATGCTGTTTGTTCACTAATGTTCTCTAACAAACCTATGAGAGCATCACAAAACAGCTGTATTTATACTGATATTAAATTACACACAGGTGGACTCTATTTACTTATTAGATGACTTCTGAAGGCAATTGGTTCCACTAGATTTTAAAAGGGGCTAAATACAAGCAAAAGGGGCTGAACACAAATGCACACCATACTTTTCAGATATTTATTTGTAAAAAAAATTTGAAAACTATTTAACATTTTCCTCGCATGCTTGCAATCCAGCCTGCTGGTTGTACCCAAGTCGATCAATGGATCGACTTGGGTACAATCATCCTGCCCATAGATTGATCGAATCATGGTGATGATGGTCCCTGCTCATCTATGTCTGACTTAATTCTAACAGAAGCAGCATTACTCTCTCCAGTACACATGTAGATCCTCTTCCTTTCCAAAGACGTCTATGCTGGGACCAGCACAAATGTGGCCTCCCTTCCCACTTCCTTAATAATACAATTTCCAGAAGCTTCTCTCCTGGAAACTTGGCTGCTGGAATGTTCCTTAATAGAATCTTCCATCCCCTTCTCAAGGAACAGAGAAAGAAGATTCTGCTTGTTACAGCCACACTGCTTTATTTTTATTTATATGCATCTTCTTCAGCTACACGTCAAATGAGTGGATTTGAATCCATTGAGACCTTTAGTATAAAAGGCAGGAGTTGTCTCCTAACCTGTTCCCTGCCGTGCATGTGCAGGATGACAAAGCAGTGTGTAGGGAGGCAGGGGTCATTGTCTGCTGGGTGCAGCTGATGCCATAAGCAAGATGGCATGACCCTACAGCAATTGAACTACATTCTGGAACACAGGAAAGGAGAGCTTAGTGGGGCTGTTAATGAGCAGCCTTCAACAATATATGTGCTGCAATTTCAGCACATTCTGAACTATGTGGTCAGAATGTGCTGAAATTGCAGTCAATCTCAGAAGAATTACCCACTTTCCCTCCAGAGGATTTACCGCCGCCCCCCCCCTTCCTGACCAGCCCTTTTTTTGCGTTACGGCACTGCGTTACTTTAACTGACAATAGCGCGGGTCATGCAATGCTGCACCCAGATGAAATTTATGTTATTTTTTCCCATGAATTGAGCTTTCTTTCAGTGGTATTTTATCGTCTCTGTGTTTATTTTTTTGCACTATGAAAAAAAAAATCCCAACAATTTTGAGAAAAAAAACAATATTTTTGACTTTTTGCTATTAAACATGTCCAGTAAAAAAATTTACAAAATCAAATTTCGTCATAAATTTAGGCCAAAATGTATTCTGCTACATGTCTTTGCTAGAAAAAAAAATCCAATACGTGTAAATTAATTGGTTTACATGACAGTTATAGTGTTTATAAATGGTGGTGTATATACTGGGATTTTTTATTTTTATTTTTACTAGTAATGGTGGCGATCAGCGACTTATAGCGGGACTGCGGCAGGCATTCTGGCATTGGGGGGAACTGACTTGGTGTCACTGACATCCCCAGTGGCACCAATACAGTAATCAGTTCTAATAGAAAGCACTGACACTGTACTAATGGCACTGGGGAGGAAGGGGTTAACATGAGGGGTGAGCAAAGGGTTAACAGTGTGCTGTGCGCTATTTTACTGGGGGGGGGGCAGTGTCTGTGTGCTTCACACAAAGCAGGGTGAAAGGGCTGACAGGGAGGAGAACAGTTTTTTTACTGCTAAATTTTTGTAGCAAATTGTATCGTAACTGTAATGTCTACCTTCAGTTTTCTGTTGGCGCTATATAAATCCTCTATAATAATAATACTAACGGTTCTCCCCCCCCCATCAGAGATGCTCGGCAATCACTGGGTGCCGGAGAGTAATCACTGGCCGGGACTCAGTGATTGACAGCTGAGGCCGCGAATGATGGCGTGGGAAGGGCGCGCTTGCGCTTCTACCCGGAAATGCAATATCACGTATATATATATGTGATTTTGCACACCCGTGCCGCCCTGTAGCAGTATATCTGCTATAGGGTGGATGGGAAGCGGTTAAAGACTAGAACTTTAATGCCACTAGTTTGCTACATTGCTAACGAATGATGGTGAATGGCTTGCTTAAAGGGTTATTTCACCTTTAGTAAACATCTGCTTATGCAGATAAGGGGCGTCTGTAGATAAAAACACACCATGCTGCTTTGACCAAAGTTGTATAATGTCCTTGTTATAGATGTAGGCCATTTACGTATCTCATAAAGCCTGAGCTGAAAGCTCCCAGGACATTGCAAGGACAGTGCTAAACAAGGCCTAGCTATTATTGTTCACCTTCGCCATTAAGGAGTGAGTTCTTAAAAACTGAGCTGAGAGCTACTGCATCAAGGGAGAGAAAGCGCATGTAAGGAGGTTTGAATCAGAGAATGAACTCACTCCTGTGATGGTGAAGGTGAACAGTAATAGCAATGTCCTAGCATCATCCTGGGTGTTTTCAGGTAAGACTTCATGAGGTAAAATGGTCTACACCAATAACTAGGGTATGATTTAACCCCTCGACACACAAATATGCAGCCTCACAGAACTGGGCTGTTTTCCGTGGGGTCGCAGATTTGCATACCTGTCTCCCAGCACAAAGACCGGGCTGTTACTGAGAGCCCCAGGTCCCGTTCTAATGATTGGGACCCTGGACTCCCGATTCTGGGTCACTTGTTCGCTGTGATAGCCTCTGGTTGGCTGTCACAGTTATCAGTCACTGTGAAACCCACGCCTCTTGGTTTTTTTTTCTCCCTGAATGGAGAAGAGAGATACATTGTATCTCTCTCTCTCCTTGCAAAGAGGAATATATACCGTATTTGCCGGCGTATAACTGGGCGTATAAGAGACCCCCCTACTTCCTGCTAAAATTTAGTGTTTGAGCTATACTCGCCGTATAAGACTACCCCTCTTACAATGCACACCAGTGGCAGGAATAGTGCCCCATCATCCGTGTCAGTGGGAGGAATAGTGCCCCATCATTGGTATCAGTGGCAGGAATAGTGCCCCATCATTGGCATTAGTGGCAGGAATAGTGCCCCATCATTGGCATTAGTGGCAGGAATAGTGCCCCATCATTAGTATCAGTGGGGGGAATAGTGCCCCATCATTGGTGTCAGTAGGAGGAATGGTGTCCCAACATTGGTGTCAGTGGGAGGAATGGTGTCCCATCATTGGTGTCAGTGGGGGGTGGAATAGTGCCCCATCATTGGTGTCAGTGGGGGGGAATAGTGCCCCATCGTTGATGTCAGTGGGGGGGAGGAATAGTGCCCCATCGTTGGTGTCAGTGGGGGGAGGAATAGTGCCCCATCATTGGTGTCAGTGGGGGGGAGGAATAGTGCCCCATCATTGGTGTCAGTGGGGGGGAGGAATAGTGCCCCATCGTTGGTGTCAGTGGGAGGAATAGTGCCCCATCGTTGGTGTCAGTGGGAGGAATAGTGCTCCATCATTGGTATCAGTGGGAGGAATAGTGCTCCATCATTGGTATCAGTGACACCAATGATGGGGCACTATTCCTCCCACTGACACTTGCTGACCCTGTTCTCGTATGGTGCTGCTGCAGCCAGCATATGTGGTTGCAGCAGCACCTCTACACTGACCACTTACCTGCTGGTCCTGCACTCGATTTTCGCGGGGCCGCTCGGCTCCAAACTCGCCGGTGATTGGCCGCCTGTGTGCCTTTCCTGAGCTTGTTCTGGCGGCCAATCACTGGTGAGGAGGCGGAGCCGAGCAGCCGCACGAACATCCAGTGACTGAACTGAAGGCGCAGCCGCGCTTCCTGGACCGGATCGTCGTGGGACCGGAACCAGGTAAGAAACAGCCGCTGCCCACCCCTGTACTTAGTGTCCCTTCCATTGGGGGAAGGGGGGGGGGGCTCCCTGGCGGCGGCAACGCGCCGCCCCCCTAAAAAGTGTCAGTATGCCGTATACAGCGTATAAGACGACCCCCGACTTTTGAGAAGATTTTTAAGGGGTAAAAAAGTGTCGTCTTATACGCCGGCAAATACGGTATATATATATATATATATATTCAAAACTAGAATAAAAATTAAAAAAAAAATACCTAGATCAAGGTTTGATCTAGTTCAGTGCCAGAGTTGTGTTTGGGTTAAGGTCAGGGTCAAAGGTCAGGATTTTTTTTTCTTAAATTGGTACCAGTTAGTGTAAGTGTCAGTGTGTTTTAGGTAAAAACAAAAAAAAAATGTGCTCTATTGTTTTTGGGCTGTAGTACAGGTACAAACAACAAATAACATACACATATATGGTATCTCTGAGTTCGTCAAGAGCTGGAAAATTTATTTTGAGTTGTTCTTTGGTGGTGGGTTATGATAGTAACAAGAAACACACAGCTAAATTAAAAAAACAGTGATTCTTTTTACTATTTTGGACCAGTTTTCCTTTGATAATAAAAAAAACAGGAGATATCCATTACCATTTACCACCAAATGAAATCCCAATTTGTCCTGAAAAAAATAAGGTATAATTCACCTGAATGTAGAAAGTAGTTGTGATGATATATGTACGGTTTTACTAATACATGTCAAAGTTGTAAAATTTTACTTAGGCATTAAGATTTGTTTTACACTTAGGTGTGAAGGGGTTAATTTTAGTCCAAGCTACACAGCTTGTGTTCATCAACAAACGTCCCATATCTGCATAGGCAGTTTTTTGGTAATGGTGAACTAACCCTTTAACTAGTGCTGGTCAATTTTACTTAAATGTGCCTCACATTTGGATTTCAGATAATTCCACCGTCGATTATTAGAGTGAGAAATGTCCACATGTATGTTTATTACTTTGATACAGACAAGTGAATCAGAGCAATATAGTTCCTTTATATCGTGACAATGAAAGAAATATTTAAGACCTTTGCGCAAAATTTGATTTTTTTCATATAGATTTATCTCTGTATTTGTAAGCGTTTACAGGACTAGTGATCTCTGAGGGCTATTTTAAGTATAAATATTTTTTTTCTATAAATTTAAATTAATAAAGTGTATTTCTTTACAAATGTATGTTTTTTGACAACTACCATAACTAGGGTTTAGAAATTAGATAAATTAAGATGGTATATGTTAATGAGCAATCCCATAGCTTCACAACTATTTTTTGTGTTCACATAAAATGCATTTTCTTTTTTTTTCGTTTATGTTGTGCAATGCGTACTGTCTGTTCTTTAAACACAAACAGCATCTGTGTGGCTTCCAAGGGCAAAGCTTTTTAGATCAGCAGATATAACTTGTCAACCATTTTCAAAAGCCGTGAGGGCTCTTAATTAGAGCTATACTTCCCATAAGGGCCCTCACAGATCACTGCCTAGGGCAGCAGCTTAAAAGGTGCAGCTCCAAGTCACAAAATGTAGAAATTGTGATAACCTGTTCTGTATTTTGTTTCCCTCTGCTAGCCTGCTCATGACATTTGTGTCTAAATGCAGCAAGCAAAATGTAAGGGGAAGGGATGAGCAGATAGAGGGCTCATTACACTTCACAAAACATGAAACCATCTCTCCTGTCTCTTGTCTAGTGATCTGTACAATTTAAATGTATTTCTGTATATAAGGATGTCCACATGTTGTATCCAGCAGTGTATTCTAGTACCGTTTTTATTAATTATTACATTACACAAGAGTTGGAGCTTGTACAGTAGGGTCTTATCATTCAGGTCAACATGGTGTCTAAATCAGGGGCAGACTGACCATTTGAAAACTCGGGAACTGCCCAAGGGCCCGGGGTCAGTAGGGGGCCCCATGAGATGCCCCTGGTACCTTTTTCATAGGCTTTTTTGAGTTTGGGCAAGGACACAAGGGCCCCATGATCCCCTATTGCCCGGAGGCCCCATAAGTTGTCAGTCCGCCCCTGGTCTAAATACAACCCTGCTGCTAATACACAAATGGCTAGATCTGCTAAAATAGACAGAGTTATTTGTTGCATGGTCTTAGTCTGTGTTATGATCCGCCAGGTGGTGCCTCCGGCGGCCCACTGGACAGACCTACCCAAATCATGGAGTCTAAGTCCCGGTCTGTGCTTTCACCAGGGCCCCTGATGGTGGGGATGGACTTGAAACAGACCAGGGCCAGGTCACGACCTCTGAGCAGGCCCACCAGTGGCAGAGGGAACCTCCGGGGATGTATAGGTACCGGGAGAGCCAGATGTGAGGAGGACGGTGGGGACCTAGCAGGATGGGTCACGAGCAGTGGTCCCGTGGGGGTAAGCGAGGTACAGAATCGGCAGGCAAAGAGTAGTCAGGTCACACACAGGGTCAGCAGGATAAGTCAGTCTGCAGATAGGTCAAACAAGCCGGGGATCAGGAGAGGAGAAGGCAGAGTAGTCAGGGTAATCCGGGTCAAACACAGGAGAAGGCAGCGTAGTCAGGACAATCCGGGTCAAAACACAGGAGAAGGCAGCGTAGTCAGGGTAATCAGGGTCAAAATGCAGGTACAGGAACTCAGGATCACAGATAGACCTTGCGGCAATCTGTGACAGTGCAGGGCATCTTTAAATATTGCGCCCTGCAGTGTCATTGGCCGTCCAGGACGCACCCCCGGCTCCTACTGCGCATGCGCGGCGTCCTGTCAGCTGCAGCCCGCCGGGACCTGGTGCTTGTGTCCCGGCGTGAGCCACCGCTAGTGCGCGTGCGCCGGAACAGAGGCCGCCGCGATCCCTGACATTCTGCTTTAAGATCATTAGAAGTTAATGTAAGGGAGATCAGATGGCCTAGCACAGCTCCTAATTCTTTTTTACCATTCTTTTATATGAATATGGCCTGTTAAAGTCATGTAAACGCTAAACATTTTTTTGTTACAAAATTGATATGCATTTTCTGAAATACCATTGAGTCTATGTTATGCTGCTAGTTTAAATGTAAATTTAAGGGTGCCTGAATATAGGGTATATAGGTTCTGCACAGTGATTTTAGAAAGATCTTGTGAGTTGAGATAGGTACCTGTACCTGTAGGGAGAATGTAGCCAGCTTCTCAGCCAATAACAGGAGAGCATCTGGTAAGCAGGAACACCTAAAGCGACAGCTGGGAGCTGTCATTGGTGACTGTGAAGTTCCAGTTTAAGCTGCTTCCCATATAGAAGAAAAACATATATGAAATATATAGTTTTAAAATATTCTTCCCAAATATATTGACATATATTTGAGATGCTAAAATTTTGGCCATATTCAATATATTTCAAAATATATTTCTATAATATATATATATATATATATATATATATATACACTGTATGTTGAAATGTGTTTTTATTACAAAATATATGAAAAATATTTGTATAAATAAATTACAAATATGCTGTATGTCTTTAAAACCACAAATCTACAGTTTTGGAATGCATTTACAAATATATGTAAAAATATATGTTAAAATGACTTTTTTATATGTTAAAAAAAATCTGAAGAACATATTTAAAAAAATATATTTTTAAAAATATATATTTTTTAAAATATATTCTTAACATATAAAAAAGTCATTTTAACATATATTTTGGGCAGCACAATGGCTAAATGGTTTAGTACTTTCACCTGGCAGTACTTGGGTCGTCGTCAAATCCCAACCACGGCACCACCTGCCTGGAGTTTGCATGTTCTCCCTGTGCCTGCATGGGTTTCCTCCGGGTACTCCAGTTTCCTCCTACACTCCAAAGACATGCTGGTAGGTTAATTGGCTCCTGTCTAAATTGGCCCTAGTATATGTATGTATGAATGTGAGTTAGGGACCTTAGATTGTACACCCTTGAGGGTTAGGGACTGATGTGAATGTACAGTATATATGTAAAGTGCTCCGTAAATTGACGGCGCTATATAAGTACCTGAAATAAGTAAATAAATAATAATATTTGTAAATGCATTCTAAAAATGTAGACTTGTATTTTTAAAGATATACAGTATATTTGAAATGTATTTTTACAAATATTTTTCATATATTTTGTAATAAAAACCCATTTCAACATACAGTATGTATATATATATATATATATATATATATATATATATATATATATATATTTATTGAAATATATTTTGAAATATATTGAATGTGGCCAAAATTGTAGCATTTCAAATATATGTTAATATATTTGGGAAGAATATTTTTAAAATCTATTTCAAATATATTTTTCTTCCATGTGGGTTAAAACAACAGGATGTAAAATATTTTAATTGCAAGCAGCCCATCCTGGCGACTGGGTGAGTACCAGGTACTAAGGACAGGAATTACAATGGTGTGGAATGTTTGACTGCTCTGACAAACAAATTCCATGCA